TTTTGATTTTTTACTCATAAAATTTTTACAATATACTTACATAGAAACTTATGATAATCGAAATGTAATTTATGATAAAATACAAAACCTCAACTGAAATTTGATGGGTGAGAATTTCCTGTCAGAATGAATTTACTATGTGTCTGAGCAATGAAAGACAAGTGTTACCAACTACAATAATATCTGGTGACTGAGAAATCTTGCCATCAGCGGCTACTACGAAAAGTGTGATTTCCTGGACTGTTATGGTCTTGGATTTTAGTGATTATATATATATATATATATATATATATACACACACACACACATATATATATATATATATATATATATATATATATATAAAAACACACACATATATATATATATATATATAAACACACACACATATATATATATATATATATATATATACACACACACACATATATATATATATATATATACACACACATATATATATATACACACATATATATATATACACACACACATATATATATATATACACACATATATATATATAAATTATATATATATATTTTAATTATATATATTTTAATTATATATATATATATTTTAATTATATATATATATTTTTAATTATATATATATATATTAATTATATATATATATATTTTAAATTATATATATATATTAATTATATATATATATATATTTTAATTATATATATATATATATTAATTATATATATATATATATATTTTAATTATATATATATATTAATTATATATGTATATATATATTTTAATTATATATATATATTAATTATATATATATATATAATTATATATATATATTAGTGATATATATATATATATATATATATATATATATTAGTGATATATATAAATATATATTAGTGATATATATATATATATATATATATATATATATATATATATATATATATATATTATATATATATATATATATATATATATAAGTGGACATTGAAGTCATAACCCACCGGTGACAGTCTCTTTCATGGCCTGACGATTGTGTTTAAGCATTAAACAGACAGTCGTCGCTGGGTGTGGACTTCAGTGTCCACTTATATATTTACATACGCTCTATCCTGAGATTGAGCACATTAACCCATAAATATAGTATACATTAAAACTATATGTTTATCATATATATATATATATATATATATATATATATATATATATATATATAGATAGATAGATAGATAGATAGATAGATACATGGCCGAGAGATTAAAACGTTCGCTTCGCTTTCCGACCATGGGACCTTGGTGAAGCGATTCTAGCGTGAGGTACCTTTGGGTAGTGCCTGAAAATCATACTATAGGTTGACCTTGTGAGTGAAATTGGATAAACGGAACTGTTTGGGAGTAGATGTCGATGATTGTGCAATCACGATATCATGGTAACCGAGGATTTGAACGAATTGGCCTTGTTCAAAAACTGCCGATGACTCCAGATTATTCGCTTTAATATAAAGAAAATATAGCTCCCAGAAAATATAGCTAATATCTTCTTGTTGCAGTATAAACTACACAATGAGTACTGGCTAGCCGCTTTAGAAAACATGTATGCATGAAAAACGATTAGCTTGTGTTACGGACAAATTGCCGCAGCAGAAAATCTAAAAGAAAAGATTAAAAAAAAAAAAACTTGTTGTCAAAGAATATGAGCAGGTTTATCACTCCGCAGTGGAAATAATGAAGAGAAACAACCAACGCTAACGAACAACAAAAGCCAATATAGAAATTAACAATAATTAATTATAACAGACGCGATACAAGAAAGCATTAATGGAAGGGAATGCGTGCAAAGGTGTGTATGCTATACATTCTTGAGATGGATAGTCAAGACAATCACTTTATGTTTTATATTTCTCTTTTGTTTTTTGTTTTTATTTTCAGTTCAGTTCTTTTTTTCTAGAACAGCCATATATTTTGATTTATTGTTCTTTCTTAAATGTTATGAGTTTTGACCCGAAAAGCTGGTCGTTTATTTTATTCTTCACATATTCAGCAATCTAGAATTCATCATTCGGGTAGGAAGATTCGGCACTGTATAAGTTGTAGCTTACTTCCAATTGAGTGGGCCATGCATGCCTGCCTTAGGTTATTATCACGCTTATTAATTTACCTATGTATTTCATATAAGCAGTATAGTGTATTGAGTTGAATTGGAACTAGTCTTTATTACGCGATTTCCTTTGCTTGATAGTACCAAGTAAAAAGACTTGTTACTAGCACTAGACACGGTTTCCAATTGATTTACTGGGAGTTTGTGTAAGTTTGGTGATGGCATTCCTTCTCTACAGTTCGGTGAATCCATTCGTATGACGGTTTCATGGCTGGTCCGACTCCCTCGAGATTTGATGTCCCAACTGATTCCTTCTAATATTTCCCGCTCAACGTTCGTACTTGACTACGTATTTCTGCACGTGTGTGAGTATCTATTTTTAGCTTTCGTTCGGACATGTTGCTGGGATCACCAGCCTATCTGACCTAATTGTTCTTGCATTCAGCGACTGCTATTTCAGATTGAGAACGGGGTGGTTAATGTAGTATTAGAGAGATGGAAAGAGAGATGGTCTGCTAAATGTAGAATGTTCGTGGTTAGGGCTTTTGGCTGCACAAGGATATAATACTGGTTATTATATATATATATATATATATATATATATATATATATAACCAGTATTATATCCTTATTTATTTACACACGCTCTATCTCTGATATTGAGCACTTTATCCCATAAATATAGCACACCTTAAGAGTATATTTCTTCATATATATATATATATATATATATATATATATCATACAAATAGAAAGTAATTGAATGTCAAAATGAAAGAAATTTCTTAGTAACGTGTTTCGTTCAGAGGAACTTCTTCAGACTTCTCGGAATATTTCGTTACTAAGAATTTTTTATATTGTTTATATGTGGGTGTGTGTGCGGGTGCGTGTGTGTTGTTTTATATATATATATATATATATATAAACTTACTAAGCTACTCGCTACTTCCTCACTTAGGATCAGTAATTTTCCTCGAATAAGCAAAGAGTATTTTCCTTTCAACTGTTCGTTTCAGCGCTAACGTTCACTTCTCTTTGAGCACTTCATAAGTATGACAAACTGCCAATCTGGAGTAGACCAACATGGTATCTTCAAGTGGGTATACTTTTGAATCATTCGTACTCAGGAGATTATTCATACTCATTTCTTCTGGTCAGGTACTAGTTCCTTTCTGAAAATTCTTCGAATTCTTCATTTTATTCTTTATTTGTTTAAATGAAGAGATAGCGACTTTTAAATAACCTTACTCTTTTTAATTTGAAACTGGGAATTATTAAAGTTTTGGCTTAAATTTCTTTTCTTCCTTTTCGCCAGATATCTATCATTATATACTCTATTTCTTTTATTTTTACGTACGTACATGTAATACAATCGTTAAAAGTGCCACCTCCATCCAAGGTGTTACGACGATGGAGACAACAAACACATAAATTAAAATTATAGAGAAGTTTTGATTATTTGCCAAAAATTGGAAAGTTATAAGCAAGTTTTTCAGTTAAGTTCATGTCTTATGTTTTTAAATTGATGGACAAGGTTTATATTAAATATAAAGAAAATATGATACAATATGTCGGTACATTGATCGTTATTAATGTTATTACAATTACGTGAAGAAGGATTGGAATATTTAGAAAATTTACTAATGAAATATCGATTACCTACATGTTTGTTTCTTAGAGTTACATACTCTCACTTTCTCACTCTCTATCTTTCACTCTCTCTATTTATCTCTCACGCACACATACACACACAAATACACACATTACCTGAAATAACTGATATTCACAAGCTGTTATTCATTTCTTGTTTGTTTTTCCTAGCAAACCTTTTTTCTTAGAATGTAATAAAACGATCCTTTTTTTTGTATGAAGATTGCTAAATATTTTCCCAGGTTTTTAAACTTTGTTTATTACCTTTCTTGATTTTTTACTCTACTGGTCTCAATGAAATAACTATAAATCGTAAAAAGGCTTTAAAAAACAAAACGAAAATGTTTAAAACTTGATAATTATGATTCACAGACATTGAAGACCAATTTATTTTTAGTATAAAATGTTATATGTCCGCAAAGTATCTGTTATTGTCAGTGGATAGGTGGGAGAGTAATATGAGGTTATTTCCGTGTACAAAATTGATGAGATTCATTACCATACAAAATGCAATTGTTGCTTAATCCATTACAGGAACCTTATACAACTCTTATTCACTGAATTATTTTTTGGTTAAGCACTTTGTTCAAAACCTAATAAAAATCTTTTTTAAGGTATCTATATTGATTTTGAATTGTCATTCTCCTAGACTGGTTGCCAACCATGGCTAGAAAGTCCAATCTGTTCTGTTATTTAAACTCAGAGATGTGGGAGAAGAAATGGATTCTTACTTTTCCTAAGAGTATTTGCGTGTAAGTGAATGTAATGAAATCGACTGGAATTCGAACTTGGCACTCCGATTTCTTATCCCCTGCTGCTATCCATTATCCTAACCGCACACCTACATGCTCACCCAGAGAAGGAGAACATTGTCAAACTAAACCATGAAAATGGTTCTCTTTGCAGTCAGTCAAGAGCTGTACATATGTCCAGGTATATATGAATAGGAATAATTATTTACCCAGCTAAGGGATACATCTGTGAAGTAACCCATGAAAGTGATTAATTTGTTTTTTTACGAATTATCAACCATTTGCAGGGTTTTTTTAAGCCAGAAAATATTTTAGATTGTATGAATTGGGTGGGGTTAATAATAATTTTTACTGATACAAGTTCTACTAATTAACCCTGAACTAGGAGAAGAAGACATGGATATTTGCGTTTAAGGGAATATAACGAACCCAACTGCAATTGGAACTCGACTCTCCGATTTCCAATTCCGAGCCGTTATCCATTACACCACCCACACATCCAAGGTTATAAGATCTGGTATTCCCAAGCGGTCACTCATCTAGGTATAGAACAGGCTCGACAATGCTTAACTTCGGTGATCGCACGAGAATCGGTATTTCAATGTAATATGGCCGTAAGTCGTAAGCTGTAACTAATAAGAACCCAAATTACTACAGACTCTAGACTAGTTTACTAACAATTGTTTCACAGCATGGTACCATAAATGAGTGTTTGCATATGTGATTGTAGGTGTATATATCAATATGTATGCGGGTGCCAGTTGGTATCAAGATGGCTGAGTCATTTAGGCAGTTGTCAGTAACATTCGTTTGTCCATTCTTCTGCTCTTCTGTCCATATGCACCGACATTCTTTAAATCAACTTTTAGATAATAAGAACTATTTCGTTCATATTACTCTATTCGAAAAGGATATTAATCAATATTATTTGTGAACAAACATGGTTCTGACGGTTAAACATATCTGGGTATAATAAGCTACAGACAAAACTGACCATGCTAATTTTAGCACAGATTTTAAGTTAAAAAACATCAATATTATTGAGAACCTATTCTTTATAAAAGTATTCACTAATCACGAATTTATTATATATTTTAGTCAATTGAAAAATTCGCTAAATTTTGTTGTATTCTGTATTTTGTTCCCAGAAGGCGATATTTTCAGATATTTTTCTCACATATTCGGTGACCAACTGGAAATGTTGTTGGATAGTTTGTTAAACATTGTCTAAAATTAATCTTTAATAAATAACCGTAATTTTTATCTTTTGTGGGACATAAAATTAGGAAAAAATTAAGCCAACAGTGGAAATAACTTTTCAGTTATTCATTTTTAATTTTGAATTAGTTTAAAACTGAAATATGAGCAAAGAAACTCATTGAAATGTTGGAATCCTCATTCCTTTTTTTTTTTTACTTGATCTATGATTCAATACTTGGTATGTGTCTGAGTGAGAATGAACAGTGGATTAACAACTCAAGCCACAATTTCGTTATGCGAATAGTGTAACAGTTATTGGCGCAGAAAATTAAATGGACACCTCGAGTTTGATTTTTGGTCTTTTTATTTTTTTCATCTAAATCCATGTTCTTCCAGTTATGGATTAAATAGCAAGCCTCTATTGCTTTGGGGTGGCAACCGGTCAAGAGAAAATGAAAATTATTGATTCCAGGTTGGATGTGAATTAAGAATTTTTCCAACAGGGATGGGCTCCGTCAGATTATCTTGCACTATAAGGGACTCGTGACATGACTTTCATCATGTAGAGTTTGAGAGTTCAGTTATATATTGAAGTTTACGATAAAACATTTCCAAAACTAGAATGAAATCACTATTTTAACCATCAATACTTATATAATTCATATTTTGTTCATGTTTATGTAGCTTAGCCACAGTCATATATATTGTGGTCTTGGGCTCCTCGGCATGGTGTAATGGTTAGCAAGCTGGTCTTGCTAAAACTGTTACAACTCAATAGTGAGTTCGATCCTCACTGGGTGCCCCATACTTTCGGCCATGAGCCACATCTAAGCCTCGCTTGGAAAATCAATATATATTGTGATGTTTTACTTAGACGTGTGTTCTTGTTTCAGATTTCAGTTTACTTTTGAATATAACAAATAGAAAAGGAGATTTCCAATTTATTTGATCTCTTCCTAGACGATGATCTGAACATATACAAGCACGAATGCGAAAAAATGGGTACTGATCATTTAAACATTCGAATCTACTAATATAAAATAGCGTTCCTGCTTTTCCTCCCAAGGATAATGTATAGATCATGAGGGTGAGGTGGTGTTATGCTGATGACATAGGTATTCATAGTTGGGATAAGAATGATCTTGAACAGAAAATTATCATCCTCTACCAAGTGTTCCAAGAAAGTGAGCTCAAGTTAAACCATTTCAAAACAGAAACTATGATCTGGAACTGGAATGGAAGCAGTAAGAAAAATGAACACAGAATAAGCTGCACTAGGGTTAGTTTCACCCAACACCTCAAATTGCTACAAAGCTAAAACATTAACAAAAGACTCGAGACATCTTGTTAAATAATAACTAGCATCTTGGGTTTTTATCCCTTGCTGATGACCATACATTCTGTTTACTTGCTGATGATAAGCTAATCCGTTTTTCTCGCTTTCTGCTACTATCCTGTCTCGGAGGTGCTGCAGTTTCCTTTCTGAGTTAGTCATCAACACAATGCCATCTGTATATCTTATATTGTTAAGATTACGCCAACTGATAATAAAAATTAAAGAAAAATCCAACTGATTGCATATCATACAATATCACTTTAATTAAGATTGATTTATTTGTTTATTGGCATATCTATTGGCATTATTTGGCATTTAATGATCCATATTTAATTTCCTTGGGAGTTAATTTTCTTGAGTAATAAAAATATTTTATTCTGCTTTCACAACTGAATACATGATAGATAATACTCAGCTTTTGTGCACATACATATTTGTGTGGACATAATTACTAGAGGCGGTGATATGTGTATTTTATGTAGTAGTTTAGTTATATTTTGGAATACAGTTTGATTTTAAGAAATTGTAAGATATATGGATTAATATCATGAAATAGTTCTTTCATGTTAGTTGTTTGGTTGATTTTGTTATCAATTTCTATGGGTTATTTAATGTCGAAATCTAAATATTTTGAACGTAATTGTATGCTTTCAACTAAAGAGAAAAATATATTGCTGGTAATTCTACAATAAATAGTTATTGTTTTGATATAAAGTGTATGGCTGGTATTTTTAATATCAAAATATATTTTTATATTTTCATGGGGTTTTGTTTTTGGTTGGGTGGTCACTATTTGCCCATAGCTGGGACCCTAATAGAGTGGTTCTGGGAACAACAGAAATTAAGAGGTGGTTCCACTTTCCTCAAAGCTTCCACTCTCCCGATCAGAGGTCTTGCTATAAAAAAATAATACGTTAATTAAGAGACATCCTTTAAATTTTGATAATTGATTTCAGCTTATTAAAATTAACAGGAATATATGTTAAGTATACACGTTTTCAAAATTGATTTACTAACGCTGAAAGAAACACTTCAAATAGCTCGGTGTATAAGTCAGTTATAACAAATTTAGTATAGGAGATAAGGAAATTGAAGACAGAATAGGCTGGGTTAGGGGTAGTTTCATTCAACACCAAAAGTTGCTACAAACCGGAACATTAACCTGAACACTCAATTCATTTTCTTAAATAACCTTGTCAGATCAAGATTTTCATATTGATGTCATATGTAGCATCAAACTTATTAAAAAAATGTATAAACTGTCAATTGCATTCAACCGCTTTCTCAAATCGAACGAGTGAATCATGTAGATCTCAGCGAAGATCATCCTTCTTCAAATCTCGTGAACTAGCGATAAAGAATTGCTAACAAAGAACTGTACCAGATAATAGAAATCACCACTTGAGGACTTCCAACAGCAGCAACAACTCAAATGGATATCATACGTAACTCGTAGAGAAAATAACATAATCAAGACGTCGACTTTACACAATATTTCAAACAAAAGGTTAAGTTAAGAAGGAATGCTGGAAAGTGTGATAACAGTGACTTGAAAAATCTATTTTCTAGAAAAAAATTTTAACAAATAGATTTTGTAAATTTCAGTCTGTATGGTCAATGCATGCCGATTATTTACTTGTAAGGAAACGGTTTATATTACCATCACTATTCAATTTAAATTTTACTCTAATTTTGATTGTTTGTTTTTTTAGTGATCCCTGTCTTTAAAAAAAATAGACAATTTTCGAAATGAAAAACATCGAAGGAAATCTAACGATCAGGTTATTTCTTGAACTTAAAAATCAAAAAGGCAACATTCACAGCCTTTGCAAGAAAGAACTAAGATAAGAGAGTATTAAATTGTATCATCGTAACTTGCCCAGACACCCTCTGACGATGATGGTTGGATAGAGGCACACTGACTGGCTGATACAATGTCTCCCTAAGTCATCCAAGGTTAATAGAGCTTACAATCTATTTGCGTCAATCTATTCTCATAACCCGGAATGATAGCAGCTATGCTTTGTTGTTGTTCTCAGTGGTAAATAACGATGACTTCGTTTTTAGTTAATCACAGCCAGACTTTGCAAAAGATAAATCTCAAACAGCTGTGTCTGATTTCCACTGTGAATGTCGTGGCTTTGGACATTCCCTTAAATTCGTTTTGATTTGTTTAACGATTTGTTCTGTTTACAATTTTGCATCTTCTGAAATTACATGAGCTCTTCTTGGATTTCATCGACATATTTGAATAAATATACATCGGCATTTCATAATCATACGCCTGAAGATTTCCATATACAACATAATAAGAGATAGGAATAGAAAGTGCAAAGTGAAGTGAAAGATTGAAAGAAAGGTGAGATCAATTAGTTATGTGCTATGCGTGATAAACGCTTAGGCGATCATGTATCTTTTGGTACATCAATGACGAGGAAGATTTTTTTTCCCGCAGTAGGTTGCCAGTTCTTTCTGCAGTAAATCAGTTGCCATCCATGGCTATAGAACCTGGTCTGTTCTGCTGTCCTTCCGGAGAAGAAGAGGATTCATAACTTTTCCAAGGGTATTAGCACATAAGTGAATGTAATGGATTGAGAATATGAGTAATGGACTGGAATTCGAACTCGGCTCTCCGACTGATTCCTCAATCCGAGCGGCTATCCATTACTCCACCGTGCCTCCCTTGTGAGATCATTGAACCAATAAAATGAACGAGATACCGTATTTCTCTTAGTTTTCTTGAGAGTACGCAAAAATAAATAAATACGTCTGTCTAGCGTGAACACAGTCGACAATAACCGCTTAGGAAGAATAAGTCTCGGCAAAGATTATTAATTCAGAGTTGAATTTAACATAATAAAGAGAGAAGAAAACGCGATTAAATGACTGCAGAATAGACATAGGATTTAGGCTAAAACGTTTATATAAGAAAAGTGACTTTTCGCGAAGCAAAATTATACATTTTAAAAGAAAGAAAATCCTGTATGTATTTTATGTCTGTCGGGGCGGCTTATGGTGTTAAATATAGATTTCACATGTTCAGACCTTAAAATAATAATAATAATAATAATAAACTCAATA